AGCTTGTAGTCATTGAATGTTTTCAGATGTAATGACGTCGTTATGGCTTGGGAGTAGCAACATGGTGTGTACAACATGGCTTCAAGTTAAGTGTTGAATTAACCTGTGGGTTTAATGCAGTGTTAAAACAATCACAGCCCTTTCTTGTTAATTGTATTTATCCCTAAATTCGGACAAATAATTTCCTCATATTTTATATCCAGTTGACTCAATTTTGCAGTGTATTAAATATTGTTGAGTGTTGCTGTTCATTGTTCCATTGGCTGTGAACTGTGCAGGTTAATAATGAAGACAAAACTCTGCAAACACTGTCACTGCCTAGTTTAAGTCAGAAGTCCATCATCCATCATCTTTACACGCTTCTTCCTTTTCGGGTTGTGAGGTCATGGTGCCCACATCCAGCCATCACTGTGTGAGAGGTGGGGGACACCCTGGACAGGTCTCCAGTCCATCACAGAGTCACAACTGGAAAGTGCACCTTCTTTTTGTCCGTAAGGCACATGCTGTCCAAAACAAGAGTTCATTGCTGAACTCTGTGCCACAGTCTTATAATCCTGAGGTTGCAGGTTTAAGCCCAGGTTGAATCAGGAAGGGCATCTGGTGTAAAACCATTGCAAAATCTTTCATGCATATTATCTCGTTGTGACAACCCTGCAGGGCGGAGCAGCAACAAAAAACATTATTAAAAATTAAACAAGCTTTTTAAATGCAAATCTTAACAGTGACAATTACCTGGAGTTAGCTTGCTGTGGCGATCCCTGGAGAAGGGAGCAGCTGGGAAAAACAACTGCATTCTATATTGTTGAACACATGGTCCAAGCTGCGGTGTGGTCACCTTGATGGGGATTGAACCTCCCCCCCGTAGTGTTTCTGCTCTGCACACTGGAGATGTGGAGATGTGTAAACCCACAGTAGCCCAGATACACTGACACACTGTACAACCAGCAGCATGCTTCCATCTAAACATCTAATTTGAAGCAGATGGAGGTATTTGACAACCAGTTTGTGTCAGATGGACTCATCTCATTTTGTCTCAGATTTTGTAGCTCTGCTTCCCCATTCTGAAGTATTTATGGGCTTTTATTGGCATGTTAATGTTAATATGGTATGGTTTTTTTTTATTAATTACGTTGATTATTTTCTCTGACTTCTTTGCTGGAAAACTGTAGTTTCTCCCATTCACAGTGAAGGGTTAACAGCAGATCTCAACTGTGCTCTGACTGGAAACATGTACTGTATTTTCCACCGTACACGTCGCACCGCCCTATAAGTCGCATCAGTCCAAATATGTCTAATAAAGTGGAAAAATCCAGAAATACGTCACTTTGCTGTATACGTCACATCTATCATTTGTCACCGCTGACAACCCGGAAATGTGGGCTGGTGTTGTGCCAAAAATCGATTGGCTGCCAAATGGCGGCCACTGGAGTGTACACTGGAGGACTTTAACAATAATTTAACAAGATTAACACTTAAAAACAATTATTTGTTTGCTCGACTATATAGTAAAGATGTGTCTCAATCTAACTTTTACTTAATAAATGCACTTTGCCAGTCAAATCAGTTGCATTTCATAATCTGATTCACAGAAGCGGGCACGTGCAAAGGGACGAGTTGCTGTGCATTTCTTCTAAATTTAACAAGATGAACACCTAAAAACAATTATTTGTTTGCTCGACTTTAAAGATGTGTCTCAATTGAACTTTTCCTTAATAAAAGGACTTCAACGGTCAAATCAGCTGTATTTCAAAAATATCTGCCTCGGTGCTCTGGGAGCACACAGACAGGGAGGACATCAGGAAGGAGGAACGCTGTGCATTTCTTCAAAATTTCACAACATAAGCACCTAAAACAATTATTTGTTTGCTCAAAATTATAGTAAAGGTGTGTCTAAGTTGAACTTTTACTTAAGAAATGCCTTCAATGGTCAAATCAGCTTCATTTCGCCGGGGCAGCACAGCGAAATGAAGCTGATTTGACGGTTGCTCCAGGCGAGCTGGACGAAGGTGTCAGGCTATGGCAAGCCGATTGTGTCATCAATAGCCACTTTTACCTATTACATGACACAATGGCATGCTTTAGTACTCGAGTGCCATCTAGCGGTTGAAAATGGTTGTCAATATTTTCAGTCAGAATGAATGAAAACCATCATATCTCAGCCAAATTTGGTTTTAAAATATGGGGAAAAAAATCCATAATTAAGTTGCTTCTGCATATAAATTGCAGGGCATACAAATTATGCAAAAAAACAAACCATGACTTAAAGGGTGAAAAATACAGTATGTGAACATTGTGTTAGCATGATGGTAGCGTCTCTATGTGCAGAGTCTGGTCACATCAGAAATCAGCCTAGCCTAGTCAAGATGTTTAACACAACAAATGTAAAATACTTTTTTGTCAGTTCAGTGCATTAGAACAAAGAATACAGAGGCGATCTGTTAATTTACATGAAAGTGACACGTAGCGGCTCAGCTTTGGGAAGCTAAATCACCTGTAACTTGTTAGTTTTCACTTTTCTACTTAATACTCCTCTGACTGCCAGCTGCCACTGCCTTCAATGTAGCAAGGTCTTTTCTACCATTGATGCCAAGAATTGTGAAAATAATTGTACGTATTTCACCAAACCTCTCAGTATTGAAGTGTTTGAAACATTTTGTTAGCATAGGCCATTGGATTATTTGCAGTAAATCTTGTCTGGTAGGGGACCAGTAGATGCTCTACTTCAACACCTTCTGTGTGTTTGTCTTACCAGAGACTGGATCTAGAACTGAATACAACTTCTTTCTCCAGAGCTCTACAGAAATGTGTGCCACTATCTTGCACTTGGTTTGGTAATGATCATAACGAACACCAGTGTTTCCAAGCAAAGACCAGTTACAAACTGTAAATCATTTGATGCTTACAATCACAAAGTGTTAGATCCACTGGGAAGGATGTAGAACCTGGTAGGTGATATTAAATCATGTTTATGCCACCTCGTCACATTATTTTACCAGACAGCTGGCCTAAGAATTATAGCATCCAAATGTTGTTAAAAACATTTTATTTGGCTAGAATTAACTCTTCAGGTAGCTCCTCATGAAGCTCTGTGTTAAACGTGAAGGAGCAAATGATGTCGTTTTAACAGCAAAATCTGCCACTTTCCTACTCAGTGAAAAACACAGAGGTACAATAACATTTTGGACATGATTTGTGGGCGTGGCCTATCTGGTTTGATCTTCAGTAGTGTTTTTGTATTTATGGTTTCCATGTGAAGTGTTTTGTTTTTGCTGGTTTCTGTTCCCGTTTAATGGAAACAGAAAAACTTGAATTATTGTGGATTTGTTTTTGTATCATTTGTTGTGGTTCACTGAAGGACCTTTTGGAGATGTTGATGCCTTAAATGTGTGCTCCGCAAGCTGGTATTTTTATTGTAAATAAAATAAAATAAATAATATATATATATATATATATATATATATATATATATCAGAGTCAGAGTTCTTTATTGTCATTTGCACCACATGTGGTGGAGCGACATTATGTACACAGGGTCCCAGTTACATCCAACAATAAAATGTAAAAGAAAAACAATGATAAGATCTAAGACATGAACTAAGAAAAACATCAACTAAAACACTAAGCATTAATAGTATAAAAACATTACATCGAACAGCAGCACGAACATGTGCTGTGTGAGCAGATGAGCACGCATGAACAAATCAACATGAAACAGATCAGCAGCAACATGAAACAGATCAGCAGCAACATGTGATTTTTCAGTGATTATTCTAGTTAGAGATTCATGAGTCTAACAGCCTCAGGGTAGAAGCTGTTCCTGAGTCTAGTGGTTCTACACTTAATGCTCCTCAACCTCCTTCCTGAGG